CCCCCTCACCCCCCCAGAGTGTGACGCGAGCGAGGTTCGAAGGGGCTTCAAATTGTCATAGCGTGACAATCTGGTGGGGACGGGGGGGAGGAGGGGCGGGGGGGGGGGGCAGATTGTCAGGGCGTGACAATCTAGCCGACGCGACCACACGAAGAGTGTGACGCAGGTGGCGGCCGAAGGGGCCTCAAATTGTCGCGGGATGACAATTTAAATTGTCATGCCGTGACAATCCCGCCCCCCCTCGCCCCCCCCCCCCCCCCCCCCCCCCCCCCCCCAGATTGTCATGAAATGACAATCCTGCCACCCCTCAACCACCCCCACCCTCGCCTCCCCTCCTCCTCCCCCCTCCCCGGACTTCAAATTGTCACAACACTACAATCTGGGGAAGGGAGGGAGGGGGGGGGGGCGGGGTCACCAGATTGTCATGGCTTGACAATCTGGCCGCCGCGACCACACGAAGAGTGTGACGCAGGTGGAGCCCGAAGGGAGCCCAAATTGTCGCGAAATGACAACCTGGAACACCCGGGCTGGTAAATATACGCCCCTTTCTGTTTTTACGGTTTTTTACGCTCCTACGGTTTGGTTTCGGTTTTTTACGCTCTTTTTGGTTTTAGGGTGTTTTTAGTACTATTTAAGAACCGGGATCATAATCCGATATGTCCTATATTATTCGATCTATGGGGGGGTCCTGTCGCAGGCGGTTCAAGGCACAAAGCTTGGGATAATAGGTATATAGCAGCCTCGAGTTGTGGATTTCATGAATAATCGCAAGCACTGCTTGGGAGTTGCAGGCATCAGTTGTTAATTGCACACACTATTAGGGAATTTCGGACTTTGTAGAGAAACCGCTTACCTTAATTTAAGACCCTGCCCAATGAACTCCTCCGGATGTTTTGCCTGCGCTTCTGCCGCTCGGTCGCCGGCCGACGAGCAGGCTGGCCCGATGGGAGCTCACGAAAGCATAATTATGGGAATTAGGCGCGGTAATCTGCCATAAATATATAATCACAACCTCACTTTAGGAGTCCCATATGCTGAGCCACAGCTGCCTGGTACCGTCTCAAGACACGACTATGAACCGTCCTCGGGCTCACACGTCGACTCAAACGTGCTATGTGACCTATGAAATCTTCGCACATAGAAGTACAGTTCGTCGCTGGATTGTGCACCAGAGAACAATTGTTGTCGAGAGCTGCAGCTCGAAGGTCTTCCACCACATGATGCCAGTAGTGGCATTTTGGCACCAAGTTAAAGAGGAGTAGTCTGTTTGCCATGCAAAAATTTACCAGGTGGCTGTAGCAGAAGAGAAACATATAACCATCCTCGGCACATTGCGCTGCAGCAGCTTTCGGCATAAAAACTCCTTCCGCATAAAGGGTGCGCACAGCAGAAGCGATAGACGTACATCCTTGATGGAGGTATTTCCAAGGTTTCTCCGTTTCAGACACTGGCAGAGTCTCGACTAGCCAACCCAGAAAGCCCATTAAAACCACTGAATCTGACCCTTTGTTCCACCCCCCAGATGCATAACTGCTGGGTGTTTTCGCACCGATCAGCTCCAAAGTGAGCTTTGGGATGTGAATCTTGGCATTCTGCTCCTTGACATACTGCCGCAGCTTCACATTCATGCAGCTCATATTTTCATCCTGATTATTTCCAGCGAATAAAGGGAGAAGCATGCATAGGCCACTCGCAGCAAACTCTTTGTAGATCCCCATATTCAGAATGTGAAAAACATCCGGCTTCAGGAAGGAAGGCTCGTCCGGGCTGTGCAGGATTGCTTTCAAGATCGTAGGCTTCTCAGTCCAGGGTAGTGGATTCCTGGTCCCCGTGGTTGCCATCCAAGGGGCAGTTTTATCAAAACACTCGAAAGCAATCGTAGGGGTACCGGCGAGGCACCAGGGGCAGCACCCCGGCAGGTCTTTGGAGTTTGAGTTCGGAGCTCTTTTTCGAACTCGTGTGAAGGACCGTAGCAATCCGGCTGCTTTCGCATGAAACACCAAGTCACCTTTCATCCCAACCAGAATAAATCTCCACGTTTGGCCTTGGTACTCGAATCCATTCCTGGGTTGTTGTTGTACAATATTTGTTTTGCTCTAGTAATCGTAAAATTAGAATTATAAGTCTTATATTGGTTCTTAGGGTTGCATGGGGCTTATAGGATTGAGTTGGGGTTGGGACTTTCCAAATTCTTCGGTGGGAACAATAAGTATTGCTGTCTTAACAATCTACGAAGCTGGTTCTGAAGAAATCCAAGAATCTCGTACAAGTCCCCAAACCATTCGGAAACAAATTCTAGGAGCTGCAACAAGGGAGTGGCATCTTCTCTATAATGTTTCTTGTGCAGGACACTGATAAGATACCTTGTCGACAAGCTATGGCCTTTCAGATTAATTTGCACGGCATCAATCTCATCAGCCAATTTTCGGCGCTTGGAGCTCTTCGATGTGCCGGCACCGACGGCCGATTGCCACTGTAGTACCATCAATTCCTGTCGTTTGTAAGTCCGGCCACCGTCGCCGTGCACATTCAAAGGAACTAGATGACCGGGATCCACCACACCAGTTTTGATGTCGTTGACAATCGGATGCTCACGATACTGATTGCAGAAGTGGGTCCAGTAGTCTTCCAATTGCACAGTTGCAGACTCTAGAGGCATACCAATCACTGTGGAGAATTTGTCCAGGTCACAAAGAGTAGATAGGAAATCTCTGGGTCGGAAGGCTGGATGTTGCTCCAGGTTAGCACCAAGATCCAAGTAAGTATACGGAATATTCACCAACATCCCAGTGCTATTCAAAGATTTGAAAACTCCATCTTCCTCGTGACCCTTGGGTACCCGAGACAGTTTCTCAGCTGTAGGGCACAAGAAATCCCCATCTTTTCTGGAGGCCACCGCACGTGCCACTATGTCCTTCGCCGGAACCTGGGCAGCAAACTTTGGGAGGGTTCTCGGGATCAGGTTTGGTAAGGGCATTACAAGGGTTAACAGGATTATGGAGGCCTTGGGCTGCTGGAACTTATCCATCGGGGTCGTAGAATGTGTCTTATTGCCAAAATCGGTTGGGTTTTCGGGTTCGCTCAAGGCTTTGAGAAGGCTCTGGAATCCTGCTTTAGAGACTTAGTGGCCATCACTGTTTATCTGTTGATGGATGCAACCGCATATAAGGAAGCCTCACTTCAGATCTCGATGCATGAAAATCAAATCTAAGACCCCAGCTCCTTTGCCATAGCTGCGGACATAGTCGCAGGCCTTGTTGCTGGCCTCTTGCAGAACCTGCAGACCTGGCATGATCGGGACAAATGATGGAGTTCGTTAGTGATCGGCGTGAGCAATAGCAAGCTCATCTGCAATTGAAATCTAGTTGCTCCGGATACCAACTGCATGGCACAGAGGTAATATACTTTTTCGCCGCACAGACAGGCACAGCAGCTAGTAATCGCAGATTCTTGGGAACGTGGCCACATTGGAAATGGCTTGCCAGTGTGATTCCCTTCACACTGCTCTTGAAATGAGCTCAATCTGCATCGATCGGCTGAGCAAAACTATCAGCATCAGGCTTTAGCTTTCGACTTAGCCTTGGCTTTGGCCTTCTGCTTGGGCTTCTTAGGTGCCTTTCCCTCGTCGCCCGCCAGCGCTGCGGAACTCTCCTTCCTCTTCAGAGACCTGGGCATTAGCATGGTCTAGGATTTCTGGGGAATTATCATCAATCTAGCGGGGTTTGTCGGGATCTATATACTTGCATGATATCATCCGTGCTTTTCAAAGATAGGGCACCTGAGGTTTGGGATTGGTTGTATATAGTAAGACTTTCGAGGGCTCTCTCTTGAAAGATTAGGAAATTTCATTTGGATTGTGTCGCCTTTCTAGAGCATTCTCCCCCTAAGACCTTCGAGATACTGCAGTTGAGTGATCTGGAATTTGTATTAAGACTTATGTAGGCCATAATTTATCGATAAATTAACTGATCAGTGTACACGGGGAATCTCAAAAGGTTCTACACAGACAGTGGGAACCATTTAATTGTTGTCAGGCAGTTTAAAAGATATCGTGGTTCAGGCGTGTTATCAGGATTTTGGAGGGTTTGGGATTATGGTTGCATCGGTTAATGGCTTTGCAACCTTTGGGAACTAAGATATCCGGAAAGGCGGCACATCGGAAGCCTAGTCAGGGTATTAAATTTTATCTATACCCATAAAGCAAGATCTGTTTTGGCTAATTGGGATTCTATGGTTGGATCACAGGGTTTCCAAAGACTTGGGTCCAGGCTATTGGAACTCCCCAACCCGAAGACAGTATGCAGACACTTTGAAGCATCCTCTGTTCTATCATCTCGAACACAAGCAAATCCCGAAACTGAGAATGAACCCTCAATATCGACAAACCCCCACCAAACCCTAGCTTAGAGCCTGGCGATTTGTTCTTGAGCTCGCAAGACACTGCCAGAACACACCTGGGCATATTCCAAGCTCACGTACTTTAGGTTTCATCTACAGTAACTGCGGGAATCTCTGATCAGTTAAGACATGCACTGGCGCTTCACGGCCTTGGACTTCTCGTCAAGTTGCTGTTGAAGCCTTGCAAAGCCAAGAAAAGCAATTAACATTTGGAGACTTTGGTTGTGCCGAAGACAGGATAGAAGTCCCCACTGCAGTAAAGAAACGTCGGGCTCATACCATTAACCTTGACCTCTGCCTGGAGCCCCGCCAAGTCGTCATACAGCGAGCCAAGTTTGGCGATGCAATCCTCCATGCCGCTGATGTCCCTGAGCTGCTGCACACTGCTGGGGATTGAGCTGGTGGTTTCTTGAATCTTGGTTTGCACAAGTGCAGTACGAGGATTCGATGCATCTCCTTTGTCTTTCTTCGTCTTGAGAACAAGCTTGTCCAGGTTCTTGCGGGTTCCCAGGGCCTCATCCATCAGCTTTGCGACACCAGCAGCCTCCTGTAGAAAAGTAGGATAAGAAGATAGATATATCTATATATATTTATTTAAGACTCTAGATAAACCTCTCGATCAGTGTATTGGAGCTGTCCTGCTCCTTCTCATTCCGCATCCCTGGCGCATGTGCCCCACCCATAGGAAGCTCCGGCATTGGAGCTTCGTCCAACCCAGAACTCATGAGGCCGTCAGCCCCGGTGACGTCCGCGCTCCGAGACTCCAGCAAGCCGTCAGTCTCGTTGGTCCCACGAGAACCTTCAGTTCTGAAGTCCACCCAGTACTCCGTCTCATCCTCGTCGTACTGGTTCTTCCTAGGTTATATAGGATTATCGGGGATCTGGGAGCAACGAAATCTTCAATAGAAGCTTGATCCCCGAACTTGTGATTTTTTATGCAAGCCGACTGTGCTACATGAAAGGCAGCCGCCCAAGCAGCAGTACACATGTATAGCCCCACTATATATCTTGTATGTGTACCACATATACATGCATGACATACTACACATGTATGTGCATATCCACACACACACACAGACACATTTGTTTACTTACATACATATAGCACACACACGTTGTGTTCTTTGCCCACAGAAACTAATCGCACCCGCTGCAATCGTGGCACCGTACGAAGCCGTGCTTCTCGCAGAACTCCTTCACCTTCTGAACCTTCTTCCTCGGCAAGGGGCTTTTAGTGATGATCTTAAATAAGGTTCCTAGTGTAGCAGGTAGTACAAGGATTTGATTGCTTCCGGGACACACACTGAAAGCCAAGCCTCCTTCGGAGACAGGCTTTTTCATGTCTGCCTCGCTGTACCATCCACCCTTGGTTCTCACCTTCCTGAACATCTCCGTCTTTCTCCAGGATTCCACCTTCTGCTGAAACTCGGCCTGTCATTTCTGGGTCCATCATGTTTCTTTTCTACACCCTCTGACACTCTCTCTCTCCTTCTCTCTCACACACTCTGACTCACTCACTCACTCGCTCTCTCTCTCTCTCTCTCTCTCACGGTCTCTTTTTATTCTTTCTTCTCTCTCTCTCTCTCCCTCTCCCTGTCACTGTCTCTTCCTCTCTCTCTCTTTCTCTCTTTCCCTCTCTCCGTCTCTCTCTCTCTATCTCTCTCTCCCTGTCTCTGCCAAGCCTTGTTTCCGGCGGCCTCCATCATCAGCTTCACGAGTTGCACACGTTTATACCCCTTTTCTTTCCAATCTCGGATCAGATCTGGACTCGCCGTGGTGCGTCCCGACACATTGCTCGGAGTACACATTCGGCGGATCTTGGCCTCCATCCTGGCATAGAGCCGCCGGTACTCCGGCGACTCATCCTCTTCTTCCTCCAAATCCATCTCGCCCGCCGGAGTAGGAGCCTCGGAACCTTCGGGTATCGCAGCTTCCAAGGATGGGCGGGCAGCTTTCACATCGTCCTTGCCGGGCTCGGCATCGGTCGTCGAGGTCAGCTGGCTTGTAGCGGAGGTCATGGAATTCATTCGGACAGGGTGGGCTTTGGCAACCTTGACACTGTAGGCTTTGTGATGGTGAAGCAGGAATTGGATTCAGGGCTTTCGGGCTTTATGCCGCCACGATGCACTGCTGCAAACAGACTCCGGGGCAAATATGCTTGGTGTTCCCGGCTGGGTTCGCTGCAAATGCGCAATGATCTCGTAGAGTTGCTTCTCCCGGGCCTTAAGAAGCTACTCAGCAGAGCTTTAGAATACTTTCCAAAGAAATCATTGAACTGAGAATTGAGCCGTTTGGGGGGCTGGCATGTCTTCGACACGACCCCCACCAGGTAACTCCTGCAAACGGGGTCGACAACGACAATGCCTGTCATAAGTAGCCACCCCTTGGCCTTGATCTGCTCAGGTTTTCGAGAGCTCGGCGTGCTCGGCGCATACATCAGCTCTGGTGGCACGGCAGCCTCTGCGAGATATGGGTCTTTCTTCGGTTTCATTATAATAAATAAATTCCGAAAGTGTACTGAGCTCTTTTCGGACTCTATAATATTGTTGGGCGGGCCTTAAGATCTATACTGCAGGGCCACAATTGAAGTCAAGAGTCGCACTTACAATTCTAGGGTTCGTTTTGGTTGTGGAGACGTTCTTCTGTCTTCTGGTCGTGACGAGCAAAACAGACAAGCCACTATATAGGCTTCTAGATAGCATATATATATATATATGCTATATATATACTAGAGTACTATGATGAATACTCAATAGCGATTCATGCAGAGCCAGACGGCCTCTACCCCCATTAACAAATCATGCTGCCAATCTAGCCCAAGTCAGGAACTCTGCACTGGAGTCCAGCTACAATGTAGGGAAGCTCTTAACTATGGAAGACCCAAGATCCCGGTCGCCTGGGATTGCACCTGGAGCGGCTTGGCAGATGCGGGGACCTGCTGCACACACAGGGACAAAGACAGAGGGAGAGAGTGGGAGAGAGAGAAGAGAGACAGAGAGAGAGAGAGAGAGAGAGAAGGGTGCTACTGGAATATGCTCCTACCCCTTCGAAAGAGGGAGGGAGGGAGGAAGAGAGGGAGAAAGGGTGAGAGAGAGATAGAGAGAGAGAGAGAGAGAGAGAGAGAGAGAGAGAGAGAGAGAGAGAGAGAGAGAGAGAGAGAGAGAGAGAGAGAGAGAGAGAGAGAGAGAGGGGAGAGAGAGAGAGAGAGAGAGAGAGAGAGAGAGAGAGAGAGAGAGAGAGAGAGAGAGAGAGAGAGAGAGAGAGAGAGGGGTGGAGAGAAGGGCAGAAGAGGAGAGAGGGAGAGTCGGCATGAGGGTCCTGGCTGTCGTTCACTTGGGGCTTCTCCTGGATCGTAGGAGCCTGGGCGGGAATTGTTAATTGTAAACCCTATATAGCTATAACCCCACACTCGAAACCCGAAAGCCCTAAATAAACTTATATATAAACCTTAAACACACGACCCTTAACCCGAAACCCTTATCCCGAAAACCCTAAAACTTAAACCGATGTATAAATCTTAAACCTTTATAACCCCAAGCCCGAAACCCGGAAACCCTTTTGGAACATGAGTGGGCTTCCGTGCGCTCAGTTTTCGGGTTGTGGGCTTCGGGAGTTCTGCATGTTGTCTTGGAACTCGGTATACTCACACAGATCTTCAGACTGATATTGAGGGCCAGACAACAGCTTCAGCCATGGAAGCCTTCCCAGCCTGCAGAGACACGGAGAAAAATCATGCAACAGAGAGAGGCATCACAATCTCTGGATGATTACTATACGATATCTTCGGCTGCTAACCGGGGTGGTGTCATAGACCGATGCACAAATCTAAGGATCAAGCCTCTGGACCATTCTTGTTCTCGGCAGCTGCCGTTGGCGACTCGGCGGCTTGTGGCGAAGACACAGGAACCTTAGGGAGAGAGTTGTTTGGGGGGGGGAGGGATCGGAGTTCTAACTACAGCGAATCACAGGGGATGCACACATAAAAATTGAGGGGCTCGCGATAGCATGGGTTGCTGGGGATGGCGGGACCTGCACGAAGAGGCATAAAGCAGCACCAGCCAACACAAACTCAGCTGCAAGCTATCCTGGCTGTCGTTCGCTTGGGGCTCCTTCTGGATCGAGGAGCTTTCCGGGGCCTCGGAATCGGTTATATGGGCTTCATTGCTTATTAAGATCGATTATAAAATGCATTGTATACAATGCGTTTTATAATCGATTTTAATGAACAATGAAGCCCATATAGTCCCTATGGTCTTCAGCTGTGCGGGCACATGCACTAAAAGGTTTTCGGGTTCTTATACTTAGGGGGAGCCGTAGCTGAGGAACACACGGTAGCCTCGGTAGAAGAATTCCCCGTGGCCTGTCCAATGAGATTTGATGACTGTAGGAGAGAGAGAGAGAGAGAGAGAGAGAGAGAGAGAGAGAGAGAGAGAGAGAGAGAGAGAGAGAGAGAGTGAGAGAGAGAGAGAGAGAATATATATTCGAAGTAGTATTGCACATTCTCGGGTCAGATAGATATAGACAGGCCTCCACCTGTGTATCCTGCAACGTGTCTGCTGGGCAAGGCTCCTTATGTGGTCACAGCAGGAGCCAGAAGTTAGAGAAATGCAGAATCTCATGTTTAGGCCGGGCACCGACTTGATCGGCTTGTTCGCAGCACTCATACCAAGCTGCTTTCGCAGTTCCTACACAGCAGCAATGACACATGCATGGTATGGTTATGCGGGACGAAGCGAGGATTGTGTGCATGTGCATATACTTCATCGACCGATGCTGTCCTCCACTCGAAGTCGGAGCTGATGCTCATCGTCAGGAAGGCTCTGTTCTTGCTTGATAAAGGCGTGGAACATGTTCCGAGAGGCAGCTGCTAAAGAGCCCCCAGACCAAGCCTTACTCAAAAGGGTTCGTGCCTCGCACATCCCCCTGCACTTGGGCCCAGTCTCCGGTGCTGATTGCTTCCTTCGGTGGCTTCGTGGGTGCTGCTGCTTGGTGCAGGATTACGGTTTTTTTTACGCTTTTTTATGGCCTTTCTACGGTTTTTTTACGCTTTTTCTACGCTTATTTATGTCCCTTAGCGCGTGGGCTTTCTGGAAAATTATGGTCTTTTGGGCTGTTTTTTTATGGCCTTTCGGGGCTTTGGCTGGAATTACGGTAATTTATGGTCTTTTCCCTGTCCTGGCCTACGGTTTGCTTCGCTAAATTATGGTCTTTTAGGGTCCTGCCGGCGGCCTGTCCTGAAATTTATGGTCTTTTCGTCCTCCTGGGGCTACCTGTCTACGATAAATATGGTCTTTTACGGGTTTTGGGGTCTAAATAGACAACCGAGCAGTTGAATAGATTTATGGTCTTTTGGCTGGTTTTATGCTCTGAAAACCCAAAAGTTATTGAAACGTAGCAGAAAGAAGACCACGACCACCATAATGCCACGGAACCTGGACAAAACTCGGGCCCGACCCTCCTACAAAGCCCACAAAAGCCCTCAAAAGCCCAAAGCTCGACCTTAGATCGCACAGCAAGTGGGGCCGCAGGTTTTGCTTTTTCTGAATGCAGTAAATTTCACCCGTCCCGGCGAAGCACTGCTAATCGGAGCCTATCATAATATGCATCATAGCAGTAGGTCTGCGATAGCTAAAGCATCTTTCATTGCAATCACCAGCAGTGACATGTGCCAATGGCAGAGGCTAATTGCCGGGCACCAAATAATTGTGCTGCATTCGTCCCAAGCCTTGAGCGCTTGGGTCAGCTCCCGTTTGATCATGCGAGGATCACGAAGCTCGATTCTAGCCACCATAGATTGATACCGTTCCTCGGGATAGGAAGGGAGCCCCATCGGAATCAACTCGAGTTCCGTTGCATCATTCCCCACACCCTCCTCAACACGAAAGCGAACTGTAGTGAGCACTGCAGCCAGCAATGATGCCGATGAAATTGCAGCTTCGGAGTACAAGGGAAGCACACTCAGCAGATGTTGCATGCCATTGCGAATACTTTCCAGGGACCCAACCACAAAATCTCGCTGCACCTCAGCGGGGTAGGCCTCAAGGTGGCGAAGAACCTCCCTGGCCCAAGGGATTCCATCCTCCATCTTCGACAAGTTGGCTCTCTACTAAACTGATATGCAGCTAGAGACACAATGGCAGAATTTAGCACATATGCCAGCAATGCCACGAATTGCATCCTTCTAGCACAGGAGTGTGAGCAATGCAGACTTTGTCATCGATCGCTTGTATGAGTGCACAGCAGTCGGTCGCATCACTACAATCTCTTAGGAAGAACTGCCCGCCAATCCTCAGGAATCTCCAAGGAACGACAGCCCCTCAAATAGTGTACAACCGTCACTAGATCAGCATCCTCACATCTATCATCATAATCCATATTTCGAAACAATTCCATGGCTTCTCCCGGCCGACTCTCTCGTAGGGGGTACTCAGACTTGGAAAGAGCACTCTCCCCCAGCTGCATCACCTCGAAGGCTCGGCTTGCGAACTGCCGAGTATACATCCTCGGCTAAGGAAGAGTGTTGTTACTATTGTCGAAACCGGATCAATCGAGACACCTGTGCCGACATCTACACAAAACAGCCAAGGATCCCGGTGCTTGTCAAGTTCTTATTCCCCTGGAAGCGTTTTTTGCCGTTGTGGCCCACATAGCGCTTTGTGGTCTTGAAGCCAGAATCTCTCCCGGCCCTCTGAATCTTCCTGCTCGTAAAAAACCCACTGATGACCCGTGAGTTACTCCAGAGGCTGGTGCGCTTGGGCGTCTTCGCCCCGTATGCGGCCATCCACAAATCCAGCTGATAAACCTTGGCTGCAGAAGTTATATAAAGCTGGGGCGGAGGATTATAGTTCTTATGGTCTGGGTTCGGCGGTGTATAGTTTTTAAAATTAGCTTCGGGGCTTATTTAAGTTACATAGATTTCCAACGGTTTTGGGCGGCTTCTAGAATTCCTGGCATTTCGAAGACATACAATCTCGAGACCCCACATATTAATTATAGTGCAAGGTTACATCATACTTCCGTCGATAGTATTCTCTACGTCAATATTGTATATATATAGTATTTATGTAAAAATGATTTCATGATTTTAGATGTGTATTGTGGTACCCTATATAAATATTATATAATATATAATATATATATATATATATATATATATATTTAATATTAATATATATATATATAGCAACGTGTATGCAGGGTCTCCTGAGGTTATATAAATGTAATATATATATATATATATATATATATATATATATATTACATATATATAACCTCAGGAGACCCTGCATACACGTTGCAAACAGGATCCGAAACCCTTTGCCCAACAAAGCCCGGAAACCCCTGTCAACCTAAAGCACATCTTGAAGCTGGCCTGAATCCTGCTACGGACGACACAGAATGTCGAAGGAAGCACAGGGCTAATTTGGAACACGAAGACAACCCAGAAGTAAGACGGTATACAAAGTCCCAGTTGCTTCGAGAGCAAGGGTTTGGGAAGTTGGGATTTAAGTCTTTTCACACTATTACAAGAGTTCAGGGTCTTCAGGTTTAATAGGGATCAAGATCTTTCAGGATTTCGATTAGAAACTTTGGCACTGTCAGGTTTCCGGGATTCATAGGGTTTTCGAATAAACAACCATTCTCCGAAAACCCGTTGAGACACCAGAGCAGCCCTTGTAGGGTTGGTAAGGCTTGATTTACAAGAGCAAGATTTGATTGAGGCTTTTGGGACTTTTGGCTTTCCGGGATGTACGACGTATTTTCAAGAAGCACAGGATCATCCACATCAATAATATTATTTAGGTTTTTGACACCAGGGATGAAGTGTAAAAAGATTATATATAAAGATCATATATACATTTATTATAGTTCCATCATGCACTTTATCCCTGGTGTTTATAAACCATACAAGGTATATTTCAAGCATTTAGACGTTTAGGGTTTTCGGACTTAAATTAAGCCTCCAAACCCCCAATGAAACCCAAGGCACCTGTAATTTCTTCTTAAGCCACAAGAAGCGCTCGCTCTGCAAGAGCAGAGATGTCCGAGGCTGCTCCACAATCCACCACTGGCCCAGCGCTGCCGCCAGCAAGCACAAAAGTGCTGACCTGGACATCTGGTGCCCCGGAATCTATATATGTTTCTTTTAGCTACATGCACTCATCAAGCTAGCACAACCGAGCAAACCTGAACAACCCCGGCCTTGCAGCCATGATGTTGGAGTAAACTACATTCTTGTAGCCAGTGTAACCTTCAGGATTGGCAAAGGATCTCTTGGTTGTTGGGCGGGCCATTGACACCCATGAGCTGCAAAGGACTCCCAGCCAGACACAAGAATTCTGGCGACCACACAGAACTGCTGCACAAAACGTCCTCGGTTCCGACATCTTGTAAAAAAGCAACCATTAGAACCGAACTACATGAGACCATGTCCAATTGAATATCAAGTAACCCGAAGCCTGAAGATCGGCAAATGTCCATGTTCCGGCCATACTTCACATCACAGCTTGCGACCTCCTTGCCTTGATAGTAGAACTCTTTGGAAAGAGTCGCCGAACCAGAGAACAGCTCGGCTAAGTCCACCTCCTCACACAGCTACTGGGGTGATTGCTTGGAATTCGTCTGATTTATTGAGGAGGTCGCGGGGTAATTCCTGATTGAGGCTTGCTGGTCAGAGCTGGCTTTGGGTTTGCAACATCATATTGGCATTGAATATTTTCTCAATGGAAGAGTATACGTGCTTCTGTTGCAAGAGAGATGCCCAAACCCCCCGAGCCTTCAATCTCCCATAAACCTATAATATTATAGGGCCCCTTAAGTTATATCCAAAACACATTGACCCGAAGGCCGAAGCTTCCTCAGAGGGCCCCTTGATCTGGCAAACAACCGAAAATAGATAAGTTAGATCAACCAAAGGCTCCTATCCTTACCCTAAACCCACGAAACCCACAAAGCGAAAGCTTGCTTGGAGACTCCAGAAATGATCGTGACCTATATAAATCCCCGCTTTGCACCTAAGACCCTCACCCCAAGCCCCCTCGAGCCCATCAACCCGAGCCTTCTCCACAGACCCCTCTTATCTAGCAAACATCCCGGAATACCACAATATACCTGAAGTCCTTGGCATAGTCGATGGAGGTGTTCCAAAGCAGCAACAGGATGCAAAGGACGAATACCTGAGCCACAGAGACCCAAGCTTCCAAATGCTTTGTGAGTGTAGTAATAGAAACGATTGTACGGTTTCATTGTGATTGCGACTAGTATGTTCGTTCAAGCCTGCAATATCGTACACGATGAAACCTTGCTCGGGTCTTGCTCGGATTTTTAGTCTTCTTTTGGGCTGAAGGATCAATCTCGGGCGAACAAAAGTGAAATCTGAAACCTTTGCATGATTGAATGCCACAAAAGTATTCGTAAAACCACAACCAGGATACAACGACATTATATAGGATCCCACTAGGTAAAACTTTACAAACCCTCCTGGAAACTGAATTTTCCTGCCCAAGCACCTTGGGGGATCCAAGGCGAATCAGGCTGATGGCGACATCTTCGAATTTGGGCTTCGGCATGGGAGCAGAGGCTCCACCGACGGTTTTGCAGCAACAGGCAATTAAAACTCCATGCACGATTGCAGTAAGGATGCAAGATGGCACATCACAGGTGAGACTGTCGTACTAGACATCCGAAAGCACATATGTGTGTGCGTGTGCCCATGTGTATGTCTGCGGGCACCTGCCACGAAAAGTTCCACACTATGTTTCATGGCTGAGACTGCAGGAACTGTCAGAGGGTCAAGCAAGCGACCGAAGCATGAACTAAGCAGAAAGTGCAAAATCAGCAACAACTTGGCTAGGCAGACTCGACTTCGGCCCTGCAGCAGCTGCGCAGACCAAGCGGATCCGAGGGCCTTTTTGCCGAAGAGCATTTCGAACCTGGCCACACGGAGTGCATGATTAGACCGTATATAGATCGAACCCTTGTCAGGCTAAAGCAGACATGTCATGCACACACAGGCGCATGCACACACAGAAGGCTTCGGTTTTTTCAGCACACAAGAGTAGCCGTGATCGAGCCTCGCAACGGAGACAACACAGCCTGCACGTGAGAATTAGCGCATCGTGAGAGAAGCCAGCTTGCTCTCTGACAGTATGTACCGCTGGGAGGAAGCACCCCACCCCACTGCATGAGCCTTTAGCTCATTCCTCGGTAGCGAAATCATTCGGCCAGAAGGCAAATGCCCCAACCGGCTCCGTTTCACGATCATCCACTGTGGATGCTGGCGGCTGGCTGGAGCTGCATGAACCCAGCATAGACAACTTCTTTAGAACGTATAATTTAATTTAGATATATAGAGCTATAGATGCTGGCATAGGAGCATAGATCAAGAATTCATACAGGTATAGGCAGTCCAGCTCAGGCCTGGTCCATCGTATCAAGAAAGCGAGTCGCTGCCATAGTGCAGCATTTGTACATGGAAACCTTCGAAGACAAATCATCGTCGGACTGCTGGGCATGCTGCTTTGCGAAGTCATAGAAGTCGGACTGAGCAGGGATTTCTGAATTTGAGTTGATTGGGTATATCGGTTTATCCTATATACTACCTTATCTACCTAGCCAAGACGTTTGTTTAGCCTACATGATCACACGAAGCTTCGAATCTGAATGTGGTTTAGTATCTGCATGCTGCTACTGCGGGGTTTTCAAAAGGATGCATTTAGGATTCGGAGAATGGGGTAGCTTTGTTACAGAGGTTCGAGACCACACAGGATAGCAGCGGTCAGGATTAAGAACCCATGCATCGTAGACATTTCTTAGCTTTTACACTACATACCCTGGCCATGCACCCCAAAAGACAATCCGGCCTGAAGAGCCGAGGCTTGCCCCACAACAATGTGCGGAAGGAGCACAGACTTGAAAGCCAACACACATCCTTCCCAAAGCCGCTGGGTCCAATTCTCGGAATTGGGTCGGTAGCGACGAGCGAACGTGAGAGGCCACTCAGCATCCTCAGTATTCGAAGCCCTCTTCGCAGCCTTCTTGGGCTTGGCACTGCCCTCTGACCCCCGCTTGCCCGTCACCCTGGTGGTAGGCACATCCACGACCTTCTTGCATCGGCGCTTTTTCGGGGGCGCAACATCAGCAGCCTCTTCGGGCTCGCCGGCATCCTCGCCCTGATCCTCGCCCTGATCCTCGCCCTGATCCTCGCCCTGATGCTCGCCCGCATGCTCGCTCGTATGCTCCGCCTGGTGCACCTTCTTCCCGCGACCTCGTCCCCGGCCCTTGCCTCGGCCACGATTTCGCGCACCACGGCCTGTCGTTGCAGGCTCTTCGGGAGCCTCCTCGGGATCCTCCTGATCCTCCTCTGCCTGTTGGGGCTTCTTCCGTCCTCCTCCTTTTCCCCGGCCACCCCTGCCTCGGCCTCGGCCGGCAGCTTTGCCAGCCTTAGCTTCCTTGGCTTCCGCCTTCTCGGTTGCTTTTGTGCTTTTCACCATGAGCTGCGAATCACGTGACGGATAGGTTTTCACAGGTGTGATCTCAACAGGCTTGATCCCTCTGGGGCTCGGGGTTTCCACAGGGGCATGTGCTGATGCAGCTGCCTCGGGCGACCTAACATCTCCAAGCTCCCGTGTCTTCTCCTCCGCAAACGTCCGTGCCGGGGATGGAACCGGCTGATCCAGCCCTGACAGAGCATTCATTACGACCTGAGTCGACAAGTCGAATGCCTGGGTCTCCATCTGATCCACTGCTCCTGATCTCATAGAACCCTCATCGGCACCAGTCTTGCTAGGCACCGATATAGCAGGAACCTCAGCCTCCTCATCGGAATCCAGCACGATTGGTCCTGGCAGAGAAGATGGAACCCACACTGTTCGATATATTATCACACAGACAGTCACAAACACATTGCGATCCTTTGGGAAGCTTCTTTGCAAAGTCTTTGGCAGCACGCTTGCGCTCGATGTCCATCCTTATGTACGAAGTATACATGCATGCATGCATATCATTCGAAAAGGAAACGGAAGAATAGTGTAAACCACAATACAAGTGCTAGCAAGCTGCAGTCGCTTCGCCTCTAGCTTTAGCTCCATGATGCGCAATTGCTCCTCCAAGCACTGCCTGCTGGGCACCTCGGGCGGCACAGGAGCTGCCTCCTCCTGATGCGGGGGGTCACGGCTCAAAGGAGCTGCCTCATCCTGATGCGGGGGGTCACGGTTCACAGGAGCTGCCTCCTCGTGATGCGGGGGGTCACGGTTCACAGGAGCTGCTTCCTCTGGCCTCGGATTTGGCGGGGCCGTTTCAGGCAACTCTACACCAATCGAGATAGTTCCTGGCTCAATCTCTTCAGTGGTAGAAGCCTCAGCCTTATTATCGTGGAAATCCGGATCTTCAGCATCCCTGGGCCGATCCGAGTCCACATCTTGCTCGGGATCCACGTCATCATCGTCATCATCCCCTCGAGCTCTGAGAGCTCTCGCGATGCGG